ATGTTCGTGGACAGCTTCTCGCGGTGGATGAAGCTGTACGGGATGAGGCGCAGTCGGACACCTTCGTCAAGAAGTTTCTCGCCGACATGAGTGGCACCTGTGTCCCTCGTTCTTTCCGGATGGACAACGGGGGGGAGTTCGTCAGCCGCGACTTTATCGGCTTCTGCGAGAACGCCGGCATCCGCCGTACGTACACGGCGCCGGGCACCCCGCAGCAGAATGGTCCGGCGGAGAGTGCGATCTGGCGCGTGAACAAGGCCGGCCACGCCGCTCGTCTCGAGGCACGCCGCCTGTTCCCCAAGATCGACTTCACCCGCGTCCCCGGCTTCGGACGCGATGGCGAGCGACTTTGGCTAGAATCGTGTCACTGGGCTGCCGGCGGCTTCAACCGTTCTCCGACCAAGGCAAACGTCGGGTACAAGTCGCCGCACGAGCTCTTCACCGGCCGCCCGCCCCCGCTCCAGATCGTCCCGTTCTTACAGCCGGGGTACATGCGTGTGATGCGCGCGCGGAAGATGGATCCCCAGGCAGTGCTGTGCTGCTACCTCAACAACGGCGACAACCATCACGAGTCGGTGGTCAAGGTCCTCAAGTTTGCGACGGGGCGCGTGTGCATGACGAACAACGTCGTGTGGGTCTCCGACCGCGCGCCGTTGCTGACCCCGCCGCTGGAGATGCCGGCGCCGGCGGGAGAGGGGGGGGATTCGGATGTCGCCGCCGCACCGTTTTTAAACGAGTACATTTTTCACCGCCTCTGTTACCCCCCTCACCATTCGTCCGATATCCCAATTCACCCGCTGCCATATCCTCACAGGCGCCGCCGGCAACTTCCACACCACCATCGCCGGCGACGCCGTCTACCGCAGCCACACCATCGCCACCGGTCACCGCGCCGCCGGCGAAGCCACCGTACACCACCACCGCGCCGCCTGCAACGCCGTTCGCCGTCGTGCCACCGCCTCCCGCCGTCGCGCCGCCTGGTGCCGCCCCATCGACCAACATGCCGCCGCTCACTACGAGGACCATCCGTGAACTGGACGTGGGGCGCGGGGACATGAGGGTTTCTGGGCGCACGAGGGCAGCCGCTAAGGACCAAGGGGGGGGGGCGGGGCTCGTCAATGCCGCCCCTCTCTGCCAGGGCCAATCGAGAGCTGGACTTGGGACGAGAGACGCGGGTGCCAGGGAGATTGAGGGGTCGGGGTGTACGTCNAGGGTTTCTGGGCGCACGAGGGCAGCCGCTAAGGACCAAGGGGGGGGGGCGGGGCTCGTCAATGCCGCCCCTCTCTGCCAGGGCCAATCGAGAGCTGGACTTGGGACGAGAGACGCGGGTGCCAGGGAGATTGAGGGGTCGGGGTGTACGTCTCCAGGATGGGGGGGCCGAGCGGTCGACGTCACCTGGCGGGAGCGGCGACGCTCCCGCCCACCGCTTCGGGCTTGTATCCCTGCAGGACAAGGCAACGTTCCTGTCGACTCTCACCACTCACAGCGTCGTCGATAGGGGGAGAAAGGATATCCCGAGTACAGCCGGAGGACGTGAAGGAGCGGAGCCGGGGGGGCGAGAGCGGGGGGGCACGAAAAAAGAAGGACTGCGCGAAGAAGTCCCATTTGCGTGCGCCACCTTGCTTGCCTCCCGCGAGGACATTGATCGCACGATGAGGGATTTAAATCCCCTGGAAGTGGCACCGGACTTGCCACATTGCTATGCCAACGACTTGCGCGTGCCCAACACTTAAAGGGAGGCTGTGTCCTCTGAGTATGCTGACTTGTGGGTAGACTGTAGAGAGGGAGTTCAGAGGTCTGATGGAGGCTGGTACCTTTGAGGGAGTAATGTAGCAACCAGAGAGTGTCATCAAGGCCACGTGGGTGTTTAACTGGAAGTCTGATGAGTATGGATGGCCGTCTAGTGTGAAATCACGGCTAGTAGCCAGAGGAGAAATGCAGCGAGTACATGTAGATTGTGGAGAGACGTATGCACCGACTGCAGTGGTTTCTAGCGTTCGCTTGTTGGCAGCGATGGCATGCGAGCAAAATCTTTCTCTTCGTCATTTTGACATCAAGCAAGCATTTGTCCAGTCGGAGTTGGATGAGGATATTTTCATGCGTCTGCCAGAGGGATGTGGTAGATTGTCAGGCATGATAGTGAAGTTGAACAAGAGTCTGTATGGCCTTAAGCAGGTATCAAGGCAATGGCATTCACACTCGGCGAGGTGTTTGATTTGTTTGGGTTTTATTCAGTGTCTGGCGGATACAATTGTGTTGCGGTTGATCGCNAGCGAGTACATGTAGATTGTGGAGAGACGTATGCACCGACTGCAGTGGTTTCTAGCGTTCGCTTGTTGGCAGCGATGGCATGCGAGCAAAATCTTTCTCTTCGTCATTTTGACATCAAGCAAGCATTTGTCCAGTCGGAGTTGGATGAGGATATTTTCATGCGTCTGCCAGAGGGATGTGGTAGATTGTCAGGCATGATAGTGAAGTTGAACAAGAGTCTGTATGGCCTTAAGCAGGTATCAAGGCAATGGCATTCACACTCGGCGAGGTGTTTGATTTGTTTGGGTTTTATTCAGTGTCTGGCGGATACAATTGTGTTGCGGTTGATCGCGGAGGGAAGAGTGGTAGTGACTCTGGTAGTACATGTGGATGACATATTTTCGATTGGAGAGGAGAGGTGTGACCAATTTGGTAGGGACCGCGACACCATGATACCGCTGAAGAATCTTGGTGACTTGAGGTGGTACTCTGGATGTTTTTATGAGAGGGATTGGGATGCACGGACTTTGAAGATCTCGCAGCAGACGTACGCTGAAGAGTTGGGGATGGAGTTTGGGGTAGAGTACGGGAAGGAAATTCCTCTTCCTGCAGGGCTGAAGCTTTCAGAGTTTGACCAGGATGAGGAAGTGGTATCA